AAAAAAATTTGAATTTTTTACAAAAAAAAATCTTTTTTAGTTTTTCAAATGCATAGAATAAAAAGAAATTATGAATCAAAACATCAAATCTAAAAAAAAATAAACATAAAAATTTAGAAGAAATTTTAATTTAGTTAAATTTCTAACAAAGAAACAAACTACCCTACTTATATATTCCCATCCTTTCTCTATTTTTTTCAGTTTAACTTTTTTTGTAGCAACTTTAAGCATATTGATAACGTGAGTTATATGATTACCTACACTGAGTTTACATCATTCAAAGCATTCTATCTCAATGTCAACATCTATACACCAGTCAAACCAATGTACAAAATCAATCATAGAACTTCTACTCTCATATCTGTACTTAAGGTGGTACCAAACACCATGACTAAAATTAATTTGGCTCGTTTAATTTTCATAAAAATTTTTACAAAATATTTACTTTGACCCTTTGACAAAAATATAAAAATTTCAAAAAACTTGAACCACACACTTTATCGGAAAAATTTCATTGGATAAATAGCAGTTTGACAAACACTAGTTTTGATCATTGAGAAGCTTAATATTTCCTAAACAATAGAATGTGATTAAAATGTTCAGCTGATTTTTACAGAGTTATCTCCCTGTAGTGTTATGTACCACCTTAACTTTATTTTTAATTAATTATATTTCTGTATATTAAAGGCAAACACAACTTAAATCAACCATAACTAAATTTTGAGATGAACCTACATGTAATAAAACTTGTTCATCTACAACTTAAAAAAATATTGACATTAACTCAATTATAAGATTTGTGACATTTCATTCATAATAAATTAAGACATTGAACATTTTATCGTCATCATATTTTACGATAACAATGTGAAAAGCATTCATTATCTTTACAGTGAAAAATATATTTTTCTAATATTCAAGTGTAAATCACAGTTTAAACTGGCTTGTGATATATACAGTATTTTCATGTTTGTTCTTCACTTGGAAAAATTCTGCTGCTTGTCACAAAATTAGAGAAAAATGAAGGTGTATAACTTATATCAAATGGCTTACTGCTGAAAAATTTTGCACCAAAGGTAACCAAAATACATGCTACATAAAATATTTCAACTGCCAAAATTATTTCAGCATGTGTTGTTTAAAGGCTGTCCCCATTTTAATGAAAAATCATAAGATAAACTTTACTTGTAAATTATGACTTAATAAACTTAGGATCAATTTTAGATGTAAAATTTGGATAAAGTTTTTCCCATAATCCAAATAAACAAATTAAACAGAACTTTTGAAGTGAAGAATCAAACATGAAAATTCAAATTGTGGTAAAAATCCTATAAACCAACTAGCAACAAACAAATAAAGCACCATTAAAATCTATGTATAAAATCTGTCATATAGACAGGACATTGCACAGAGCCATAAAGACATTCAAACGTACAAAAAAAAACTATAAGCGGGTTGTATTATTTTCACCTGACTCGACCTATATGTCAATAAATATTATAAACAGAAGTCTGGTTTTGTGAAAATATATAGTAATAATATAAAATATCAGAGACAATTACACCTGATGAAGATAAATTACTAAATATCAGATTATTAAATCCAAACTGATTATGCTGGCTGTAATGGGATATACACAATTTCTATGCTGTAAAAATAAACATTATCTATAGAGTTTAGCTTGAATTGGTTATTATGTACAGCCATGACATAACATTGTATAGCTATGACATAACAAGGAACAGCCATGACATAACACTATATAGCCATGACATAACACTATATAGCCATGACATAACATAAGGCTTTTATTTTTACTGGTATACTTAGTGGGATTGCTGTTTTTCTCAAGTTGTACCCTAAATACAACTGGTAAAAATTAACTGAGGCAAAAGATTCTAGTCTGCATATCAATTATTCACCTCATAAAAATTATCTGCAGTTAAGAATTTTAACCTGCATATTAATCATTCGCCTCCTAAAAATTGACTGAGGTTAAAAATTCCAATCTGCATATTTTAAAAATTTCATTTAAAAAAAAGAAAAGAAAAAAAAAAGAAAGCATGCTTTATATACTCTTATTGCTATGTTCTGAACGCACAAATGTATAATTATTTTTACACGCTTTTTTATATCTTGCAATTTAAGCTAGGAAATAGTGATAAGGCATGCATTCACCAACACATGTAAACAGCTAGATTCATACAGTCAATACATACTCACTAGGGCACTAAGACTACAGTTAAATGCCCACAAATCCTTCATATTACATATATCTGTAAATTTACACCCTGTTTGTTTTTTTAAACAAAACAAAACAATATAAACCCTCATTATTTAATTATTATGCAGTGCATTTCTTTTCTCTATTTTAAATTCTTCTTTTTACCCAATTATTTAACAATCAAATACTGTACTAAATAAACTTCAATATTAAAAAAAAAAACTGACAACAGTAAGAAATCTGTTTAATTGCATTTTTTATGACTATTGTGAGATATTTTTTTCATTTCACTGTATAAAATAAATCTTGTTACTAATCACATCTTTCTAAGAACTATTCAAGAAATGTTTGAGTCTAAGTTCAGAAATACACACCCTAAATTGCAAAATACTGGTCTAGCCTGCTATATTTTTTAAAAATAAAAAAAAATAAAAATTTAAATTGCCAAAAGATTCCCTTTTCAGCAATACCCTCTCCCCCCCCCCCCCCCCATCCTTAATCTACTTAAAATATAGAAAGTTGTACATTCTTTTTATGAGGCAGAATTAAAATGCCAGGCTACTCTTCGGCCAACCTGAATATTATCTCCCCCTCTTTTTAAATCTTACTACAGGGAGATAATTGATTAATAATTTTCATCAATGTACATATAAAACAAAATAAGCCTTAAAATCAAACAGGAGTTAATGAAAAACCAGGATAAAACAGGGGAAGACAAGAGAGAAGGTAGAAAGTGTTTTAATCAACACTGTTGTCTTCACACATATAAAAAATTCTAATATGATACAAGCAAAATTACAACTAATAAATTTTTTCATTCTGTAAAATCTAATCACACAAAATTACTTAACATGCATGCACTGATTAAGACACTCAAAACCTTGTAGAATGTACCTCACTCTTGTCAAACATATGGACTCTCTCAATTCAACCAGGAAGTAAATAGTCACTCTCACATACACAAAGCACACCTTTATGACAGCAATTATATACATCATGCATTTAATATAAAATAACAATTGCACATTCTAATGACATGATAAACTGGTGATTAATTTATATAAATATAACAGTTCACAGACCAATAGCTTTTCTATACAATAACCGATTAACCAAATTTATAACCAATCTATTAATAACTTTTATCAAGGCACAAAGCATTTGATTTTGATTATGCAAAAATTTCATCTCCATGAAATTTTCGCTGAAAGTTTATCTGGGAAATTAATGGATGTTCTCATTTCAATAAAATTTACCAATTAAAAGAAAAGCTGGATAGTTTTGTACTTGAATATATTTTTTTCTATACCCACACAAAAATGAGACTAAATATGGAGTATTCAAAAATGACTAGGGAGACATTTTCATCTTGTTTTAAGATTTTAAAAATATCTCTTAAGGCCCCGTCAGATATGAGGTACAAATCCAGGGAAACCAATATTCCATTGTAATTAGTGTTAATATTGAAAAGTTGTCAAAATATCATCATGAAATTATTTCAGAATGTCAACTTTTAGCCATATCACTAATAAAAAACAAAATGACGAAAAATATTGAGATGTTATGCAATCACATTTTTCATGTTTTAGGGATGGTTTAAATCTGCTTCAATGTACTAAAGAAAATAAAGGAAAGCTGTTGATAATTATTCAAAATCTTGCTCAAGACAATACAAAAGAAGGTATGCTTATTATTATTTAAAAAATTTGGTAAACAATTGTAACATAACCACATGTGATTTCATAAGATCTATATTTATTTTAATACTTGCATAAACATCAAAATGAAACAACAAAGTGCTAGTTTTGATTTTTTTTTTTTTACAGAAAACTATTTGCCACTGTCCCTTTGATTCATAATAATTATTATTACATATCTCTATTTATATAAGGTCAACTATTAGTAAACTAAAACAGATACAGACCTAAAAGTGCACAACCAAATCTACGAGGTGATATAATAAATAAAAAATAACACAAGCCCTTTTAAAAAAAATCTGTAAACCTGAGGTAAAAATACAACCAAGCAGAATACCCTAAAATTTTAAACAAAAATTATATTCAACAAAATAACAAGGCTACTACATAATTAGAAATTTATATAATAATTTCAAATAACAAAATTATATTTCAATCTACTTATAAAGAAAACATAATACATTGATACAATGGTATAATGCCATGCATGAGCAACATTTTCACTATTTTGTGTTCCTCTGGATTTTACCTTAAATAATCTATATTCAAGGCATTTTGCATACTGTAGATTCATTATCATTCATGGGATATCAATATTTGTTGATTTCATGGTTATAAGGAAACCGTGAATTTAAAAGTTAGACAATGCATAAATTGTCTATAAGTTTGCAAACCATGATATCAAATATCCACTAAAATACCAATTTTCCTCAATCCACAAAAATTGGTACCAACGAAAAAACTAAACACACAATATTGTTATCTCTTTTCATGTTTTATTATTATTTGGCCAAATGTCAACCTCAAATAATTTAAGGAAGTTGGCTTGTCATGTTTTGGATTTTTTGTCAGATTTTCAGAATGCTCTGGTTTTATTGATTTGAATTCCTTAAAAAATTTTGCTCATTAACCCCCATTTTTCTTTTTATAAATCTTTTACATTTATAATTATAAGCCATATATAAAAGTCTTATAAAATCTTCATTATTTTTTAATAGTTTTTGAGAACTTAAACTTGCCAATGATAAAGCTGTTCCCGCCAAAATTTCAATGGCTCAAATCTCGAAAAACAAGTACATTGACCTCTATATTTTTTTCGCTCTTTTGGTTCCTTTAATTATCCCCTATCAATATATGCTTGTTTTATGAAAAGCTTATTATTTTGAAATTGAGTAGCAAACTTCCTTAAAGAAAATATTAATCATGTTGTTCAATAAAGAAAATCTTATCCATCCCAAGTTTTAATAACTAAAATGTCATTCTCATAAAGTTAATGTCTTCCTGTTGCAAGGGGAATATTTGGAGAATTCGTTTTATTATAAAAACATTCAAGAACAAGCAAAATTTAGATATCTTTGATATGTTATTCATGCATGGCATAATGGCTATTGTATCTATAGTGTCTAATATACACCAAACATCCATTTCAGTTTGGTTTTTGACTGATTTTTTTACTATAGCTATGATATCACCTTTGCAAATACTTCCAATGACATGTGCTAATCCATTTGTTTTCATCTGATCCTTATGATAATGAATTGTTATTTAATTTTTCATTAGTCTTCATGTATTTTACGCCTAATTTCATCTCCTCATTTTCATATACTGAATGACATTGTTTTTAATCTTTTCATTCTCATTATAACGGACTATGAATTCAAACAAATGAAGCCAAAAAAATTCATCGAAAAGTCGAAACCACTGGAAGTTAGTAACCACCGTACTGTATACATTTAAAAAAAAACCAACCTATCATTTTCTCACAACTCATTTCTACAAAATAGGTCAAAAAGGTAAAAATACTAACAATAAATATCTTATCATTAAACAATAACTTGTATAAAAACAGCAGATCTAATAATTTAACTGTGGTAAACATATCTCCTATTTGATAAGTTGAGTAAACTTCAAATAGAGATTGGTAATCAATTTCAATACAAAATCTTAATATCTATTCAATTTGGTACAAAATAAAAACAAAAGGCCCATTTTTTCACCAACATTACTTAAGTAATTCGGACTCTTTCAAAATTGGTAGGCTACAGTTAAAATAAATCAAGGAGTTTCTCTCTATTTGTGTCAATAGAACTAGTATATTATAGTATAGTAATATTAACCTCCTTTCTACGTAAAAGATAATTTGTGTTCATTGATTTCCGCATAAAAATTTCATTACATCTTAAATAATTTTGAAGTGTTTTTATTTATGCAGTATTTAATATTTCCAAAGCTTCTACTGGTGTTTACAATCTAGCAAATACTTTAAAGAATTGTGTCTAGCAGACATAAAAAGTAATTAAAAAGTGTGATTTAATGGCAGAAATGTAAGTTTTCAACAAGATAAACAAAATGGTAAAGCTTGGTTCCAATTGTCTGTACTGTACAGAAGCACTAGTTATCTTTCTACTAATATCACTGATCACATGACCCCATCATCCAATGATATGTCATATTTTGATCACATGGTTCTTAGGGATGATACTTTAAAATAAGTCCACTTTTTTCTTCATGTCATTTTGTTTCCATAAAGGCAGTCTATAAAATTCATTTCTTGGTACTTCTAATATATTCTGAAAATCTTCTTCATCTAAATGTATCTGTAACGAGATAAATTTATGTTTTTAAAAGCTTATCAGAGGAAATAACATAATTTTCTGGTGCAGATTGCTACAACACTATATTAAACTATATCTAAAGATATCTATGACAAACTTAACAGGTTGTCTACCAAATCTTTTGGCTAAAAAGCATTTATATATTAATACCTGTTAAAACAAAATTGATCAGATTGAACTCCGGAAATCTCATATCTCTCAACTTTCTACTTTCACTATTCTGATTTATATAACAGTATCAAAAAAACTTTTGCAACAATCAGAACAGATGTTACCATTTTCAGGTAAAAGTTTTTTTTTTTTTTATTTTACAATTTACGGTCTTGATATGCAATGGGGTAGATTTGTGTGCATCAAATACTTGTTTAACCTCTCCACATTTCTTTACAAAGTCACACTGTCTGGACCGTGTGTTGGTGTGGCCCGTTATATTTATTTAATGTATTGTATAAACAATTTTCATTTCATTTAATTGATAACATATTTTCTATCAAGAAAGTTGTTGAAAGTTGAATTGTCTGTAAAATTTAGCAAAGTTTCTCGAAATGTGTACACAAATGTAAATGCATTTACAAACATTTTAGACAGTTTTGAAGACTCTCCATTAAAAAGTACTGGATTTATTCACACAACACATGTACCCTCTTTTCCCTGAGCATCTGACATTCACCAAATTATAAGTCAAATTTGCATTTAGTGCAACCCACCTAAAAGAATGTGGAATAAACATTCATTAGAATGCCCACTGTGAAAGAATGTGGAATAAACAATCATTAGAAACTCAACAACACAAAGTCTAAACCTGGATCTATAAACTTACCTCTAAACGATTTAAATCTACATCCCTTGGTAAATCAAAATTGGTGATTTTTAATGTTTCATATGGATAAATCTGCAAAAATAAACAATAAAGAATTCTGCATTTCTGTTTTTTTTTTTTTTAGCCTTACAAATAAATAACGTATTCTTTTATTTTGTGAACAGAAAGAAATATATTTTTCATGATTAAATAACTTGCTTACTTCAACATTAAATGAAGAACAACAATAAAACCATTTCTTTACCCCGAAGTGTTTTGATCAATGGATACATTCAGAAACTATATTTTTTCTTCACATCCTTGTTTTAAGAGTTTCTCTTTAGTTGAAATCTACTTAAAACACACAACCTTTTAAAAGACTTCTTTATACTGCACAACCATGGCTTATTATAATTTATGTTTTATTTCTTCTCAAGTCTATAATACATTTTATCTTTTTTTAATACTTTTATGATTTGCAAAATGATACATCTTTTCTCTGATTGGTTACCAGCTCTTCCCATAGTTAATTTTTGATTACTTTAATCTTATAGACCAGGTTTTTCTAAACCAATTAAAACATCATGGTCTCTTGAATTCAAGTCCTACATATGAAACAAGTTAACATTATTTACAATTGAAGGTGGTTAAAAATATGAAATTTAAAGAAATATGATGATTAAACACATTCTTTTTAATTTATTTATGTATAAACTGGACTAGTTCACTTAAAAACATTAACCCCTAATGAGCATTCATGAATTATTATGTGTTGTTAAGTCGTTCTATATTGTGCGACATTCAAATTCTTGGATAAGTTATTGCAAATCTTTTCAAACACAGCGTATTTAATTTTTCATGTCTTACCTGTGGTTCAGCCTCCGTATGCCAACTACTTTTTTGTAATGTAAGTAATGACACACCGGGTTTGTCACTAAAACTATAACCAAATGACTCTCTCTGTAAAAGAAAATTCAGTTAGGTATCAAAATTTACATGTAAATCACGAAAGGAAAAAAAAATTGGATGAAGGTAAGTATACATAACAAAATTATTCAAAAAAATGGAAAAAAAACTGAATCATTTAAAAAATATATTTTCAAGTATCATGCCTACTAAAAGTTGCATAAACATAATTTTTTGAAAAAGCTGCAAGTAAATGACATTATCTTGATATCTTGACTGTGAAAAAGTTTGGTATTTTGATCAAAACTCATTTTTGAAAAAAAAAAAAACACCATTTTTGACAATATTAAGGCAGTCAAAATAATTTACTGCAATTATATATAGATATGACATTGTACAACAGTAATTTCGTCAGAATTCTGCTCCTGTTTACTCCCAAATTTAGAATATAAGGCCATCTTTTGTTTATGGTGTAGTTTCAAATTACTAGTACGTTCCTTGTATATATTTTTCTCTTATATATAGGTCTCTTTTAAGAAATAAGTTCTTGATCCTGTATTTCATTTTTACTCATATCCCTCTCAAAGGATGATAACATCTGAAATTGTAACTTTACATTTGATATGAGTTTCATGTTTATCCGTCTTAGAAGTGTCACACAACATTTGATCAAAATTGAAATTTATCGAAACTCATTTTTCTTGATCTATTTTTTTCCTGTAGAAAATTTTTTTTTAACAATCTTACCTCTGTGTTCATGGTTGATGATGATGTATCTAAAACAGAAAATGAAATCATATAAAACAAACTAATTAAGCACCAATTATTCATTGAATTTAAATGAGTCCTCAGAAAATAACAATAAATATAAATTCTTCAACATCCAATATTAAAGATTACTTCCATCAATCCCAAGATCAATGTAAAGTTTCAAAAAAATTGTTCCAAGCAGACACATGTTGTGTGTGATGTAATAAATTGACTTACAGGAATGAAACAATGGAAATTTTTCAAAATCAAAAGGAAGATTACTTTCACCGATCCCAACAATAGCTTTAAGTTTTAGTTTTGATGCAACATGGAAAATGTCTTGACTACACCAATTGTTGTATGACATCAGAGGAGTGAAATTATCGGATTTATTTCTCAGGTGAAGTTATTATTTTTATTTAACTGGGAAATCACAGTATTTTATTGCAACCAAATAAATGTAATAAAAGTGGTTGTGTTCTTCTAGTGACATCATACAAGCTCTCTCTTCCATGCAATCAAATGGCAAAATCAAGTGATGAAATTATTAGAAATTGAGAGAAATATACATATGTGGATCTTGCATGATATTTATATCCTGTAAGTATTTGTGCTTGCCATTCCCTTCCTGGTCACCTGAGAACCGAACCGGTTGTTGGTGCTGTTTGTGTTGCTGAGTCTTTATTTTTTCTATGTATTGATTTGTATTGTTATTTGTCTTTCAGTTGTTTTTAGTTTTTTTGCCATGGTATTTTTATTTGTCTTTCAGCTGTTTTTAGTTTTTTTTGCCATGGAATTGTTATTTGTCTTTCAGTTGTTTTCAGTTTTTTGCCATGGTATTGTTATTTGTCTTTCAGTTGTATTCAGTTTTTTGCCATGGTATTGTTATTTGTCTTTCAGTTGTTTTTAGTTTTTTTTGCCATGGAATTGTTATTTGTCTTTCAGTTGTTTTTAGTTTTTTGTCATGGAATTATTTGTCTTTCAGTTGTATTCAGTTTTTTGCCATGGTATTGTTATTTGTCTTTCAGTTGTTTTTAGTTTTTTGCCATGGTATTGTTATTTGTTTTTCAGTTGTATTCAGTTTTTTGCCATGGTATTGTTATTTGTCTTTCAGTTGTATTCAGTTTTTTGCCATGGTATTGTTATTTGTCTTTCAGTTGTTTTTAGTTTTTTGCCAAGGTATTGTTATTTGTCTTTCAGTTGTATTCAGTTTTTTGCCATGGTATTGTTATTTGTCTTTCAGTTGTTTTTAGTTTTTTGCCATGGTATTGTTATTTGTCTTTTAGTTGTATTCAGTTTTTTGCCATGGTATTGTTATTTGTCTTTCAGTTGTTTTTAGTATTTTGCCATGGTATTGTTATTTGTCTTTCAGTTGTTTTTTGTTTTTGCAATGGTATAGTCGGTTTTTCTTTTGACTTTTGATTTTTGATTGTTGTCCACTTTGCATCTTCTGTCTCTTTTTTACTCTAAAAGTAAACATGTTAATGTATTTTAGAACAATGCGACAGTATAGGATAGAAGTCAATACTTACATCTACTAGATCTATGTGTTTCAAAATCAAAATATCTCTGAAAATAAAACAATATATTTCACATTTTACTTAGTTTTATTTGACAGAGACAAATAGATCATTTAAACATATTCATGGATACACATTTTTGGATGTAACAAGAAATCATAGGCACATAACATATGAATAGAAAATGATTTTTGTGGATAACTGAAACTCATTGCTATGAAATATTAATAATTCATGAAACTGATGTCTAATCACAGTTCTTTCACAGAACAAAAAATAAAAGTCCTTTATTGAATATTTCATGTTTTTTGTGCTATGAAAAAATTATTTCCGAACAATTTTAAATCTTTAGTTTTTTTTATACTTGCTAATTCATACACTACCTCATAACATGATAAAAGTTAAATCAGAAATAATCACGTCAAATAACCGATTACTTACAAAATCTATATGACCTCCATACATTCCTTGTAGTGGTAATGTGTGGGCTCTTGGTTCCATACCATAACCTGGCTTAGCAACTGTAAAACAAATATGGTTCAAAATAAATGAGAAGATGTGGTATGAGTGCCAATGAGACAACTCTACATCCAAGTCACAATGTATAAAAAGTTAACAATTATAGGTCAAAGTACGGCCTTTAACAAGGAGCCTTGGCAGCTGGCTCACACAGTACAGCAAGCTATATAAAGGGCCCCAAAATTACTAGTGTAAAACAATTCAAACAGGAAAATTAATGGTTTAATCTATATAAAAAACAAGAAACGAGAAACACCTATGAACCACACCAACAAACGACAACCACTGAACAACAGGCTCCTGTTTACAAAGTTTATTAAATAAAATATATACAAAAATATTTATTTTAGGTGAAAAGCATAAATTTGTCATAAATTTTTTTTAAAAGTCTGTCATATAAGTTATTAAAGAACAATGCTGAAGAACTACAATGTACAGCATGATAGTTTCTACAGAGAGTTTCAACTGTAGTATTTATTATTTTATTTTAATTAAAAGTTTGGAATGTTGTTGTCTATTGCTGAAGCTGATATGGTGGTGTCTAAATGTTTACTGTAAATTCAAAAATTATTGCAAGGTTTTATTAATGTCTTAATGTTTATTTTACTTAAACTTGTGTATCCAGGTTACCCTTTCATAGAATGTTAACCCACAATTCTTTTTATTCATAGTTATTAAATATTGATACATGTGCATGTTACATCACATCTACAGTGTTTATTATCACATCTATAGTGTTTAATATAACATATGTAGTGTTTAAAATTATCACAGAAACTAATAAAATGCTCTGCAGGGCGCAGCTTGATACGACCGCAGAGGTCGAACCCTGAACAGTTGGGGCAAGTATGGACACAACATTCAAGCTTGATACAGCTCTGAATTTGGATTGTGATTAAATATTTGACACAGCATAGGTTTCTGACACAGAATGAATGTGGTCTAAGAACTTAAAAATTTTAAATTGGACATTCACCTATTATGGTCCAATATCCAAAATCTAAATACATGGTTAGATTCAGCATATCAAAGAACCCCAAGAATTCAATTTTTTATGAAATCAAACAAAGTTTAATTTTGGACCCTTTTGACCTCAATGTGGACAAAGTTGATAACGGGGCCCAAAAATCAAAAATCTAAATACATGGTTAGATTCAGCATATCAAAGAACCCCATATATTCAATTTCTGTTGAAATCAAACAAAGTTTAATTTTGGACCCCGATTTGGACCAACTTGAAAACTGGGCCCATAATCAAAAATCTAAATACATGTTTAGATTCAGCATATCAAAGAACCCTAAAAATTCAATTTTTGTTAAAATCAAACTAAGTTTAATTTTGGACCCTTTGGACCTTAATGTAGACCAATTTGAAAACGGAACCAAAAATTAAGAATCTAAATACACGGTTAGATTCGGCATATCAAAGAACCCCAATAATTCAATTTTTGATGAAATCAAACAAAGTTAAATTTTGGACCCTTTGGACCTCAATGTGGACCAATTTAAAAATGGGGCCCAAAATCCAAAAACTTAATACACGGTTAGATTCAGCATATTAAAGAACCCCAAGAATTCAAGAATAAAACCCCATTGAAATTGATCAAGAAATAAGCAATTTATACGAAGTATCTTCTTTTGCACAATACTGTGCAATTGAATATTTCTTGCTATTGCGCAATACTGTACAATTGACAATTTCTTGCTATTGCGCAATATTGTGCTATTGGATATTTCTTGCTATTGCGCAATACTGTGCAATTGAAGATTTCTTGCTATTGCGCAATTGAAGATTTCTTGCTATTGTGCAATACTGTGCAATTGAAAATTTCTTGCTATTGCACAATACTTATTATATAATAATTTACACATCCTGTTTGGTGTGTATCTCCTACCATATCATTATTATTTGCTTTTAAATATTAATCAGAAATAACCAACTTAAAATGAAAAATTTTAAAAGAAAAAAAAAAGAAAAAAAAAAAATCCCCCCTCCCAAATTTTTTGAACCCCCTTATGATTCATCACCCCCAAACTCAATACCAGCCTTCCCTTTGTGGTATGGTACCTTGCAGTACAATTTCAGAGAGATCCATACACTTGAACACAAGTTATTGTCTGGAAACTAGAAAAATGCTTATTTTTGGCCCCTTTTTGGCCCCCAATTCCTAAACGTTTCGGCAATTACCCCCAAACTCAATTCCAGCTTTCCCTTTGTGATATGGAACCTTGTAGTACAATTTCAGAAATATCCAAACACTTACACACAAGTTATTGTCATGAAACTAGAAAAATGCTTGTTTTTTGCCCCTTTTTTGGCCCCTAATTCCTAAAATTTTGAGGCAATTACCCCCAAAATCAATTACAGCCTTCCCTTTGTGATATGGAACCTTGTGGTACAATGTCAGAGAGATCCATACACTTACACACAAGTTATTGTCTGGAAGTTACAAAAATGCTTATTTTTGGCCCCTAATTCCTTAACTGTTGGTACCATAACCCCCAAAATCAATCCCAACCTTCCTTTCGTGGTATTGAACCTTATGGTAAAATTTCATGGAGATCCATTCACTTAAACTAAAGTTAGAGTGCGAAAACCAATGTGTCTTCGGACGACGCCAGACGACGACGCCAACGTCATACCAATACACGACAAAAAATTTTTTAATTTTTGCGGTCGTATAAAAATCTGCATTTATTTTCACAAGAACTTAAATAAACCAATATTAGAAAACACATTAAAAATCAAAATGTAGAGAGTTTTATAACAACAACGCTTTAGTCATTAAATAATATAAGGGCACTGTTATCAGGAAAAAAACCATACAGATAATCGTGCATAAGTACAAAATACGGAAGTGATAATTTACATGTCAAAATGTTACCATGGTGAGTAATTATAAATAGAAAGAGACAGTATGTGAGAAAGTTAACTCTCGTCTATAACATTAAAAATTAGTTAAAAAATTTCTAAAATAAGTCAACAAAGGTAGATTAAACCACTTTGGTTTAATTTTTCATTATTTATCATGTCCAATTAAAGTATATTACATTGAATATAAAAATAAGGGTGTGGTATGATTGCCAATATAGTTTATTGCCAAACATGTTTCTAAATAATATCAGCTGTGAATGCCTTTTAATATCAAATGCCTTTTTCTTCCTACTGTCAAGGTCATTTTAACCTGATGCTCTTTTGTAACAATTACTTAGAGAAAAATACAACCAAATATTTCACAGAATGACTTAAACAGTTTAAATTAGTAAAACAGGTTTATGACGTACAATGGGTAACAATCTCTTAATGTAATTTATATTAACACAGGCTTGGTTGACATTTTTAAGGATTTTATTTTTTTAGTTTTCTGTTGGAAGGAATATCACACCAATCTTCTCACCTATATATCTTGTACAAGGAACTAACAAGAAACATTTTGATTTAATGCACCAAGACATAATATGTACACTTTAACCAGGTAATCTAGAGATCTAAGGATCTATCATTGAAGTTATCATGCGATATTTTGATAATACTCCTCAAAATGCATTAAAAAAAGTTAATATTCATTTCCTAAAAAAGAAGAAAACACAAAAATGGTATCTTTATAATCCCTCTTCCCTGGATCATATTTTGCATCATATTATACAAGTATGCATTAGACAATAAAATTGATTTTTAAAATGCGTAATTCATACCGGTACATGCATTTCTATCTTCTTAAGTTCTTTACTTTTTATTCATAAAAAATCTTGATAATTTATAAATCTTATCACATAAAAAACAAGACAAATTTGTACCTGGATAATTGGACAATGTTGTAATAGTTCTGTACCCTCTTATATCACTGTCGTCCCAACTTCTCTTTGGTCTATCTACAAACCGTGAAGGTGCTGTAAGATAAAAAGTAATAAAATCAGCATCAATTTTTTATAACTTTGACTATAAAATTGCATTGCAACAAACTGGTTTAATTTTTACAAAAAATAAATGTTTTCAAATTTCATTCTAGCAAACACATTTAAAATCCACATATCCACACAATTAGCCTCTAAACTTACATGCAAACATTGGTGACTGATATCTGGTACAATATTTAGGTTCGTGATCAGCACCAGGTACTCGTGAGGCTTTCCATGGATCTAACAATTTCATTGGCTGAGCTTTCCTTTCCTCCAGTTCTTTATAAATAATTTTGCCAATACCAGAACTGTCTTTAAATTTAGATAATTCTTCTATTTCTCTTTGAATTTTAGGATCTTCGGGTGGAGCTTCATCATCACTATCCTCATCTTTCTCTCCTCGACTTTTCCTCCGCTGTCGCACTAAAATTGAAATATTTAATTATCTATAACTTAGATATAAAAATAAGAAGATGTGGAATGATTGCCGATGAGACAACTCTCCACCAGAGACAAAATGACATAGTAGATAAAGACTGGTTTCATAGGAATAAACGAATACAAGGGGTAAACCTCAATGAGACAGCAACCACAAAAAAATCCAGATGATGATGATGATGATGGATGGCTGCTTAATGTCTAGCAGCAAATTAATATGCATATTCAGGATGGGAACATGTTAATGTAATATGAATAATAACCCTGCTTTGTACTAGACCGACACGCTGAGCTGGATTTTTAACGTGCTAGTTCACAAGGTAATAGTCCTCAGGGAGACATGTCACCTTTCCCGGACACATTATTCTGACTCCGAGCCAACCAGTCTTTGCTCTTACTCCTTTATGCCGCATGCTTAGTTGAGAAGCAGCAAATACCAATTTTAAAGTCTTTGGTTTGACCCGGCCAGGGTTTCGAACCCACGACCTCCCACACTTTAGGTGAATACCCTACCACAAGACCACCTGTTGTTTGGTAGTTTACTGATGACAATTCATATCTATTGATATAGAGATATGTGTCATGGATGGATACCCCATATCCTTTGTTTTTCTATTATATGGTCTAGAAATGCAATGGGTGAGGTTTGTGTGCATGTAGAACTTGTTTAACCCCACAACACTTTGTTTTGGTACAAAAACCAGGCTATCTAGACCATGTGTTGTATTAGTATTTTTGTTGGATGAGTCAGTTGTTGGTGGTTGGTGCTGTCTGTCCTACACATATGGTAAATACTTTTTCTTTTCTGTGTATCATTTTGTAAAGGACTTTGAGTGTGTGTGTGTATGAATAATAACACTGTGGTATTTGAAAACTATGGCATGTATAAATCCATGAATATTACTTCGATATAAGTGAGAAGATTAGGCTAAGAAACTTAAAACTGTGTACCCATGCATTAGTAATTAGTAATGTATCAAATACTTGTTTTCCAAGTTTTCCATAAATTAACTTGATATCATGCAAAATTTATGTAATTTTCTTGACAAGTAATATTATACACATACACATCATATTGTAACTTGAATATTTGAGTATATATTTCATTGATAAGTTTCCTGAAATGTTCATAAATAATGTGTTGTTTATCTCAATAGTGATAAAGTTAGGAAAATTGATAACTATTAAACCAGTCACCTACGGCTTTTGATTGCATGAATACAATCTTTACCCCAATTAAAATGACCTACTTAATTCAGGTAATATAGAAGCTAATGCAGGAGGTGCCGGCCAGTCTTCTCGTTCTATCTTTTCTAGTTCATTGGCAGCAGGTTTCTTGGCACTTGGGTACATGCTGAGACGTATTGCTTCATTATTCTTGAGATCTGCAGGTGAAGATGCTCGTCTTGTTCTCTTGACTATCACCTTACCACCTGATGCTGAAAAAACATTGATATAATTTTCTCATACAGTCAAACAGCTTAAGCAACCACCTGTATTAAGCAAAAACCTGTGTTCTGAGACCATTATTTGTTTTATCCCTCTGTAGTGCTTTTTATATAGATTGAACCTGTATTGAAAGACCAACTGTCTTATGAGACCACTTTTTTGCTCTCCCTTATGTGGTCTTTTGAAACAGGTTTCACTGTACTTTAATAAACGTCTTCTCATGAAACATAACTTGTTGTTGCTTTAAACAGATGGCAGTAAGCATGACCTGATTTCCCTATTGTAAAGAGGGAATCCTCAATGGTTCAATCTTTTGTTGTGGTGTGCATTGTATGATTTAAAGTATGTGTCTGATGGTTAAAAAAAGTGCAAATAACAAATGGAGCCAAAATTCTATATATAAAACTTCAGAAAATTACCAATTAACATAGTTATATCATTCAATGTTAATTTCACAGATTTCTTAAAACTTAAATATATTTGTATGAAGCTAATCCTATCTACATCAAACCTTATTAACCCACTTTTATTAAAAGATATAAATTAAAAAAAAAATCCGTTTTTGAATTTTATACATCATTTAAAATAAATCCCTGATGACTCGATTCTGAATTATATCTCATTTTCCATTTTAAATTCTCTATTATTTTGGCCAAAGTACTGAACTAATTCTCATTCCTTTTTTCCTTTGACACAAATTAAGTAAATAAGCTGATTTTCATAACCTAGAAATTAATCAAAAAGACATTTATAATCTATAACATATCTCAAGACTATAGAAATTATAAAGTACTGCCAGATAACTCATTTAATAACACACTTATTAAAATGTAATGAGTTTTAAAATATGGTACAATTCAATCAGTAGGTTGTGTTACATTACATTTTTTTTGCCTCCTAAAATTATTTGCAAAATAAAGATTTAAAACCCTAAAAATTTTCTCAAAATATTGCTTTGGGTACTTTGTTCAGGGATTACTATAAAATATCTACTGTTTTTCAGGGATCATCTTCAAAGTTGTATTCTTGTTGTTTGTATGCTCTGTATTTAGCCTTTTTCATTAGGAGCACCACCATGAGTTATGGTGTAAAGGTGGACATTTAGCACACTGTATCAGCAAAGATTAATGTGAGCATTTGCCTACCAAGTCCCCAGCCTTGGCTGTGATGGGTCTCGCTACTAGAAAGTTGATTTCCAACTCATTTTTGTTATTAAAGTATCATGATGGAGTCTCACCAAATCTTCATTGTCTATCTTTATTTCAATGGTATATCACACCAATACCAACATATGGTATCCTCTTTCCCAATTTGACCAAATGAACCTCAAAATCATAAATGCTTCCCTGATGGACACTGTCAATCCATGTTTGGTTAGGATACATTTCTTTATTCAAATGTCATGAAATCAGTTTATTTGTACATTGACAGCTGCCCAGACAGACACTCTCAAGGGACATCATTCCTTTTATTTGTATAAGCCAAGTTCCGCAAGTTTCAACTAAATGAAATAGGAAACTACCCTTCAATTTAGAGAATGACTTTTCTAAAACAAAAACAATTACAATTCCTATTCTTTATATGGTAACTTTGAAGTAAAACCTGTACTACATTATTTTTGGCAAGGAACACAAACTATGATTTTAGAATTTGATTTTGATGCTTAATTTCTAATTCTTTTTCCAATCCTTTGTACATTCCCTTAAGTTTTAGGTAAAATTATATCTAAATTTTATTTATACAGCCTTTTCATCTATCAACCCAGTAAAGTCTTATACATACCCAAAGCAGCCATTCCACCTAAAATAGAAACAAATAGACTTTAAGGTTGAATTCTACTAAAGTTGATAGACACTGTTAAAACCAAACTGTGCAATATAGGGGTGACAATCTGGTTTTGAAAGCCTGGTGCTCTTTTCACAAACAAATTCTAACGTCAAAAATTGATTGCAAGGTGTACTGACAGGTTCATGAGTATTTTTTCTCGTAATATTTTTTGTAAAATGAGTCAATGCATCTTATATTTATAAAATTTGTAAACATTAAAACATTAAAGTAAACTGATAATTTACTATAATTTTCACTTGCTAAAAACATGCTATATTCAATATATATTTAACATATATACTACATTTATTGACTTATTCATGTCAGAAAAAAAAATGTGATTGTGACAGGGGAGGTAAAGTTTGCACAAATGTGTTACAATTCAAAGGGAGATAATTAAACTAGATATTATTGTAAATTAACAAAATTGTTTATTTAGTGAAATAGAAAGAAAACAAGAACATTTAATCCTATTTTATTTTAATTCCTAAAAACAATCCACCCTAAATAATGATGCCCTCTCCTAAATATAGACCTTTTAAGATTTTTTTCTGGTATTATACTTTACCAAAAAATTACAATGACTTTTTAAACTGAATTTGAACAGATATACATATAACTTTCTTTCAGAAGGTATGATTTCAAACAGCAAATGCATACCTGCCAACTTTCCAAAATTTCCATGGGGGATTTCAAGTACAAGAGAACCTAATGCATACCCTATACATGTCCATAGTGTACTTAATTAGAACATTTTTGGTTTAGCATGAGTATAGATGTGTATAAATGTATTTTTTTCTCCTGAATGTCTTTTTTAAAGTATTTAGTCTAACTAATTGAGTTTTATAAGGGTCAGGTCAACACCTGTCATGGGGGATATCCCCCATAAAGTTGGAAAGTTGGCAGGTCTGCAAATGAAATTGAACAAGTGTTAGGCCTATTAGTAATCTGAAAGGCTAATACATCTTGCATACATACAGTAAAATAATGAACTTGAACTTGATATGCCAATTTAGCCAATCTGAAAGGCTGATACATATTGTATACATATACAATCAAAAACAAAAGTTTGTCATATCAATAGGTTTCATGATAACATAGCAATGTTCTCCAAATATCCTATGGAAGTAAATAGGAGATACAGTACAAAAATGCCTCAAATATAACCACTTTTTATATTTATTTAATTTGTTCCTATATTAAGCATGTGTTACTACTCAATATAACATTGACTATCAATATAATCAAGCATGTGTGACCACTTAATCAAACATTGACTATTAATATTTCATTTTATTCTCTTGATATGATGAAAACTTTTTAATCAATAATATAATTTTGACCTCTGGAACAAAATCTGAAAACCAGCTCAGATTAGAATTTTAAATTGGTTTCAAGCTTCTGTTTTTAGCAGATCTCAATTTCTTGTCACTTTTTGGTAAGACTTGGGTCCTAAATGCTATTACTTCATACTTTATTTTGCCTTTATCTTTTTATATTCGAGCATCACTATATGAGTCTACAGAAGCCGAAACATGCTCATAGAGTACAAAATTATAAGCCTGGTATCTTTGACAAGTTTTATGGTTATAAGGATTTTGCCCCACCCAAACATATAACCAAGAATCAGGTTTATGATAAACTTACTTTTGTTGGTTGATTTGAGATACTGTGGTGTGCCTTTGTTATAGGAGAAATTTGCTGAAAAAAAATAAAAATGCAGATATTAATTAAATATTAATTTTTACATTGATATATACCCTACATGGAAATTGTGTTATACCAAATGCATTCTTTATTTAGTAGGCTATTTGACTTAATATCTTAAATAGCAAGGTTAGAGTACATTATAAAAATAAGGAGATGTGGTATGATTGCCAATGTCTGAGATAATTATCCACCAGAGACCAAATAATGTGCACGTAAGCAACTACAGATCACCCTACGACCTTCAACAATCAGCAGAACCAATACCATATAGTCAGCTTTAAATGGCACAGACATGAAAAAATGTAAAACAAGAAAACCACTTTATCACGAAAAATAAATTTAAAGTTTGGTCAATACCTAGAGTTTTACAAGTATGAAGATTTATCAAATAATATGAGAATGCACACTAATTGTTGAGACGGTTCAATATTTTGAAGAAAGATTTATATAATAACAAAATGAAAACAAGCATATAAATTATATTTTTATGATTTCATTTAAATTTGATAGATCCTTTAACAGATGCATTATTTATTTTTCATGTCTCATGTCAATGACATTTACTTTTGGTTTTAGATTTGTTGTGATCCTTTATCTTCTTTTAGCTTTGATACTTATTAAATAAATAAATCCACAGTATACACATTCAAAAAATGATGAAATTGGGGACTGTTTGTGTAGTTAGGTTGCTGTCTTAATGATGTACAACCCACAACTACCTTCATTAACACCAGTCTATAAAACACAACACAGAACAAGAATGCGTCCATAGTACAAGAATGCCCCACTTGCACTATCATTTTCTATGTTCAGTGGACCGTGAAATTGGGGTCAAAACTCTAATTTGGCATTAAAATTAGAAAGATCATATCATAGGGAACATGTGTACTAAGTTTCAAGTTGATTGGACTTCAGCTTCATCAAAAACTACCTTGACCAAAAACTTTAACCTGAAGCGGGACAGACGGACAGATGGATGGACAGACTAACAAACGGACGCACAGACCGAAAAAAATAATGCCCCTCTACTATCATAGGTGGGGCATAAAAATGAAAATCCAGTGACAGAGACTCCACCTAAAACCTGGGGGTAAACTGAAGTGCTACGGAAAGAGTAAGCAGTTCTTGTTCCACTTGTGGTACCCTTCATGTTACTCATATGATTTTAAAATTCGGTTTGAATGATATATCAACCAACTGCAGTAATATTTTTGCCAGCTGGTCTTTGATACCTACCTGGTCTATGAAAATGTGGAGATTTTTGTCCATTTGTAGTAGGTGTGGTTGGCCAGTGGTCTTTGATACCTACCTGGTCTATGAAAATGTGGAGATTTTTGTCCATTTGTAGTAGGTGTGGTTGGCCAGTGGTCTTTGATACCTACCTGGTCTATGAAAATGTGGAGATTTTTGTCCATTTGTAGTAGGTGTTGTTGGCCAGTGGACTTTGATACCTACCTGGTCTATGAAAATGTGGAGATTTTTGTCCATTTGTAGTAGGTGTTGTTGGCCAGTGGACTTTGATACCTACCTGGTCTATGAAAATGTGGAGATATTTGTCCATTTGTAGTAGGTGTTGTTGGCCAGTGGACTTTGATACCTACCTGGTCTATGAAAATGTGGAGATTTCTGTCCATTTGTAGTAGGTGTTGTTGGCCAGTGGACTTTGATACCTACCTGGTCTATGAAAATGTGGAGATTTTTGTCCATTTGTAGTAGGTGTGGTTGTGGCTTTCTTTAAATACGTAGCTTTCTGTAAATAACTACTGTTGTAAAACTTTCCAAAGCTAAGTGCAGATCCTCTCTCATCTAAAGAATCCTGAAATGAAAAACAATAGTTTAAAATATACATTCATGCAACAAACAAGTAACTTTTATAAATTTCACTTAGTCCTCAATAATGTTTTTGTCCTGACATTTTCTTATCATTCCTTGTTTGCAGTATAAGAAACTTATTGTTTCTATCAAGAATACATTAGAAGACACATACAAAACTGTAAATAGGTAAATTGGTCCTTAAAAACTAAAAAAAAAGTATGTACTTGTTATGTTTGTCCTACTATTTGTAAGAACAGGCATACTTCTCATTTTTTATTATTAATTGTTTATACACAGTAAATACCTTAGGATTATTGTTGTTTGTTTGTACATTCTTTTTATTTTAGTAAAAACTTCTATAATGGGTAAATTAAGTAGTTTTACATGTAACATTTGCTCCAAATGATCAGAGTGTGAATTACTTGACTTGTATACAAATCTAATAATACCTATTTCATTCAGAATTCTATCAGTGGTTTACCACTTTTCATAAAATGAAGGAAAATTAATTCCGTTTTTTATGATTTTTTTTACAAATTATTTTATGTTCATAAACTATCCAACATCTGTCTAAGATACGAATCAATGGCCACCAAACATACAGTCAAGGTTATTATTCATATTTGATGTTGACAAAATCGGTTAGAGAAAAATAAACAAATAATACTCAAAAGCTTTAGTTGTGGTAAGTTCAATGACTGAAATCTTTTGAAATTAAACTTTACTATGATTCTCCTGTGATTTTTGTCTTCTATCATTGCTAAAAGATTAATTATATCTACATACATAAATATACAAAAATAAGAAGATGTGGTATGATTGCCAATGAGACAACTTTCCATCAGAGACCAAATGACGTAGAAGTTAGCAACTATAGGTCAGTGTACGGACTTCAACAAATCTATCCTATCTTTTTCTAATGACTCTTTCATCTCACAGAACTATGAATATTAGATCACTTCAGACAATGAAAACCAGAATGATCTGTGGAAACTTGTTTGGGTCATTACCAACTTATACACCCAACATGTATTATACATCTGAAAGAAAACAGGGTACCACATGTGCCACAAATTGGGCACATATGATTAATAGGACAGCCACCAGAAACTCCAAAAGTATGAACATGTGTGTTAAGATATGTTTGATTGGTCAACACAATTGTAAGCTACAACTTAAAACAATCCAATGTGAAAAACTGTAAACAAGAAAAGCATTCAACAACCAGTTGCAGGTATTTCTCCAATTTAGTGACTGCTTAAATATATTATTTAAATATTAAAATGTTTAATATGTGTTAGTAAAATTATTTTTGCTTTGCCTTTCATATAGGTACACATATTACAAATTATTGAATGGAGTTCACATAGTGGAAAATTTGACATGTCTGTCTATCATTCTGTCAAATCAACGTTCAATAGCAAATGAGCCTAATTGTGGACAACCTCTTTCACCTCTGTCTTCAAAGAAACAGAGTAAGAACATTAAAACACCTCTTCATAGTAATGGTCTCGTAAATACATCAAATAAATCTAAGATATAAAATTCCCACAACAAACTTAATATCAATGTTTTATCAAGCCCCATCTCCTTAGTTTTATATTTTTAACAGGTATATAGATATGCCACTTTCATGTTAACATTAAACGCTTTGCTTTTATTGTTATAGTCTTAGAAACAGATATTTCTACTACATTTCAAACTGTGAATTTCAACACTTCTTTATGTTACAAACACCCATTTACTGAGTCACACATGTATAGGTAAATCTCGCCCCAAACAGATAATGTTATAAAATGTGAATGAACAACATGCAAAAGATGATTTTTCCTATAATTTAACAGGGGATAAAAAAAATGTGAGAAAAAATTTTTATCAGGCAATAATCGAAACATCTTCATAATCAACGAACTTTACACCAATGAATCAATATCTGGTACAACTTTCCTCACAAAATTAAAAAGATGTCTGAACAGAAACAATTCACATGTTTTTCTTTTACCTAAATGCTTTTATCACTACAGGCAACCATTTGTATCCCGTCCCCAACAAAAATGTACTCTTTTTTTCTTTTTCCTGATATTTGACTATATTTGTCTCATTGTCAAGTTTTGTGTATCAATTCTATGTCTGAAGAAGAGAGGCAGGAGAAACCAAAGGGATATATAAACTCATAATTCGATGACAGACTGAAAACGTCATGGCAACAAACGAAAAAGAACCAAAACACAAACAATAGTATACAAAACACAACATAGAAAACTAAATACTGAGTGATCTCAGGTACTCTGGAAGGGTAAGCAGATCCTGCTCCACATGTGACACCTGTAAAGCTGTAACCTACTCTTTCACATCATTCTCTCAAGATATTCAGATCTTAGTTGGTCCTTCCCAAATCATAAAACACGATCTTAGTTGGTCCTTCCCAAAACACAAAATATGACAATGAGACAAAACAGAAATATGTTAACTATCCACCTACATAATATAAATAGAGGTAGATACAGTACAAATCAGTTGATCAGTTATGTTGGCAACAGCAGCTGGCCTAATCAAATTAAATATTTGTTTACATTCAAACTTCTTCCTGTGCATATTTTGGAACAAAAACAACATTCTGATTTTGGATGCTGCATGTCCACTTAAGACATCTGACAATAACACAATCAAAAATTAAATTGTAACATTAGGAAATGTATACAAAAATAAGAAGATGTGGTATGATTGCCAATATGAGACAATTCTCAACCACCCAGAGACCAAATGACTAAGAAGATAGCCAACTAGCAAAGGAAATGTAAACAGATCAACAGATAACTTGATATAAGTTTTTGATTAGCAAATAATATCAACCTTAGATTTCTAAAAATTTCGTAGGCATGTGGAATTTGATAAATATAACGAAATTCTATTCAGTTATAATTTCTATACGGCCTTAAACAAATTTCCTACATGTTAAAATTGACAACTATTTATATTTTCAAATTTGTTGCAAGATAAATGTTCTATATGTAAAATATTTGCTTCATTGATTTATACATGTTCAACACAAATGTAAAAGAGGCAGCTTATAGGACCTAGCACTTAATAAGATTATAATTCATCCTTACCAAGGTTATGTCATTGCACTGTTAACAAGGCAAGCAATAAAATCAATTATAATATAACTTTATTATTTATTTACATGTATATTTCACCTGTGATGACTTGATGTTGACATTTTGATTCTCCAGCCTACAACATGGCATTTACTGATTAATTGATCTGACAATAAACCTTTAGTTAACTAATACAATTTCCTCATATTTTCATGGGACACCAGATCTAGGAATTCATAATATAATAAGGTGAAGATTTATTGCCTTTTTTCCGACTTGATTGAGAAAAACTATATTAACTGGTGTTTCTTTGTGGTTTTGAAATACATTACATCTGGTTTAATCTTTTCCTTTACAAACTGAAAATTTCAGAGCATGAATTCAACAAGAATGGACACACTGAAATGTCAGGCCTGCTTTATTTATGATTGAATTTATGTTGAAAGTCTGAAATATGAAGGTTTTACTACAAGTATCACATAAACATAACATCATCAGTGATGCATGAACATGAAGTCACGTTCAGATGAACAATGCCAGACAGATATGTACACCTTACAATCCTTCCATACACTAAATTTAGTGGTCCAATCACCTATAGTACCTGAGAAACAGATCAAACCACAAAAACTTAACAAATGAACCATGAAAATGAGGTCAAGGTCATATGAAACCTGCCAGACTAACATGAACACCTTACAATCATTTCATGGCCCTATTGCTTATAGTATCTGAGAAATGGACCAAACCACAAAAAAATTTATAACAAAGTCCGATGAACCATAAAAATGAGGTTCAGATCAGATGAAACTTGCCAGTTGGACATGTACACCTAATATCATGAACCCTATCTGACAGACATGTAGATCTTGCGAGAAACCCATATACCAAATATGGTTATCCTGTTACTTATTATAAGTGAGTATTTCATATGACATAAATAGATAAAAGAAGATGTGGTATGAGTGCCAATGAGACAACTCTCCTTCCAAGTCAAAATTTATAAAAGTAAACCATTATAGGTCAAAGTATTGACTTCAACACGGAGCCTTGGCTCACACCGAACAGCAAGCTATAAAGGGCCCCAAAAATAAAAACTGTATTTTTTTTTCAAGCAGTTACTGAACTGTGAAAATGAGGTGGACATATGACCGACAGAAACTTCGACACATAAGGTATCAGCATACAATATATAATGCATCTTGATCTTCTACCTTCTGAAATATAAAGCTTCATACAAAAAGTTTACACTGTCGCCAGATTGTAATCCCTATGTCTTGAATTCTGCAAAAATGATCTATATATTGATGAAATCCAAAAAGAATCAGTAGTCCTAGTAACAAATTATAACAATTCCACAGTTTTGTTGAAAAGTTTTCCACATTCTGCTTTGAGCTTTGCACTAATTGATTAAACTTGTCAGCAAAGGGGGGGATTTTAATTAGAGAAGGGCACCTGGTTTTTTCACCTTAAACTTGTGAAGTACGCATAATAATTAACACAAACACAATGTTCTTAACCTATCATTAAATGAACAAAATGGACAGCAATAATTGACATCATCCAGATAAATTGATTTTCTCAAGGTAAATACTTCAGGTAATTACACAAAAGTTTTACAGTTCATTTTTCCAATAAATTTCCCACTGCTTTTGTAAACATAACCTAACCTTGACTTAAAAATTAATACATCTGTTCAGTGTACCTGGGAATTAAAATACAAATATGTTAGATGTTTTCCCTAAATTTTCATAAGAACTTTTTACAGTCTTGCCAAGTAATAATATGACTTGTCAGCACTGAGCTTAAAAACACCTATCCTCATAAATATTTTAATCCAGGAACAAAGTCAGCTAAAGATGAGATACAGACATTACAACTTCCACCCATCATACTTGATGGC